GTAACAACAAACAATTTGCATTGATGGAAATGCTCTTCGTGATAACCTTGGGGATGATGCTTTGTACAATGGAAACAACACCTCGGCAGTTTGGGAAAAAGTCTCATACACGTTAACTCTGATACACGAACACACACATGCTTACACAAACTCACACTCACACAACACACAATCACACACATAATCAACACACACACAATCACACACATCAGTCATATACCTACGCAGGCACACACACACACACCCACACACACACACACACACACACACACACACACACACACACACACACACACACCACCACACACCACACACACACAACACACACACAACACACACACACACACACCACACACACAACACATATGATAAGAATTTCATACTATAAATAGTTATGTTTTCATAATCATTATCATTATTATCATTATCATTGTTAATATAATTATCAAATCATCATTGTTCTTGTTATTATCATTATTATTGTTGTTGCTATATGAATATTTCTATTATAATTATTACAATTACTATAATTATTATTATTACTATCATTATCATTGCTATTATCATTATTATTATTACTGCCATTTTATATCATTTTACCATTATCATCTGATCATTATCATTCTTATTCTTATCATAATTACTATTATCATTACTATTGTTATTGTCATTATCATCGTTATCATTATTTTCTTTGTTGCTGTTTTCGTTATTCGTGTTATCATCATTATCATTATCATTATTATTATCATTATTGCAGTCATTATTTTTATCATCAGTATTATGATAACAATCATTGTTATCATTGTTAACTATCATTATTAGTATACTACAACTATTACTAACATTATTGTTATCATTACCATTATCAATTTCATCATTATCATATTATTATCGTTTTATCATCATTACCATTATTATCATTATTAATTTCCTTATCATTATTATCATTATCATTATCATTAGTATTAGTATTATCATTATCGTTATCACTATTATTGTTATTATTTTTCATTATCATCATTATTATTTTCACTATCATCATTATCATTGTCAAGTTTAATATTATTGATATTGGTTTTTTATTATATATGTTTATATCCTCATAATTATCATTTTGTCATCATTATCATTATCATTACTATCATTATTTTCATCCTCTCCTCATTATCAACATTATCATTATCATTACTAGTACGTTACTCACAATTATAATCATTTTATACTTCATTATTACCAGTGCTATTATTATCATCCTTATTGCTAATTTATCAACACTTTTGTTATTATTGTCACTATTGGTATTACTATTATTACTATCCTAGTTTTATATCATTATTATTGTTATTATTATTATATTATTTGTTTTTGTTATTATTATATTATCTATATTATTATTATTATCTATATTATCTATATTATCATCATCATCATCATCATCATCATCATTCATCATCATCATCATCATTATTACTATTAATATTTTTGTCACTATTATTATTATTTTTTTTTACTATCATTATTGTTATCATTATGTGTTCCCTTACATTGTTATTTTCATCATCAGATTTTACTATTATTAGTTGCATTATCTTAATTATCATCATTACTATTATTTATTGATCATCATTTCTTTACTATTAGTGTCATAATTATTATCATTATCATTATTATCATCATTACAATCAGTGTTATAATCATTATCATTACTGTTATCATTACCATAATCATGGACATCATTATATCACTATAGATATAATTAATAATCATTATCAAATCATTATTTAATTTTTATTGTTATCATTATTATTATTAACATTATTATTGTCCCTTCCATCATTATTATCACCATCATTATCATTATGACAAATGCTATTTTACCATTATCATTGTTATTGATATTATCATTATTATGATAATATCATTATTATTAACTATAATGCTGATGTTTATTAGAATTAGTCTTATTTTCATGTATATTATCATTATTTTTCTCGTTATCTTTATTAATACCATTGTTATCATTATCATTTATATCATTTCATTATCATTCATTATCATCATTATTATCTATATTATATTAGTTTTATCATTTGTTATTATCATTATCATTATTATTAGTAGTAATAGCAGTAGCAGAAGCAGTAGAAGGCATAGCAGTAATGGCAGCAGTAGTGGTAGTAGTGGCAGAAGTAGAAGTCGTAGTGGTAGTAGCAGTATTAGTTAGTAGTAGTAGTAGTAGTAGTAATAGCAGCAGCGGTAGTAGTAGTAATAGCAGCAGCAGTAGTAGTAGCCGCAGTAGCAGTAGTAGCAGAAGTAGTATTAGTAGTAGTGGTACTAGTAATAATAGTAGCAGAAGTAGTAGTAGTAGTAGTAGTAGTAGTAGTAGTAGTAGTAGTAGTAGTAGTAGTAGTAGTAGTTAGTAAGTTAGTAGTAGTATAGTAGCAGTAGTAGTAGCAGCAGCAGCAGCAGCAGCAGCAGCAGTTGTAGCTGCAGTAGTATTAGTAGAAGTAGTAGCATAAATAGTAGTAATAGTAACAGCAGTAGTAGTAGCAGAAGTAGAGGCAGCAGCAGTAGTAGTACTAGTAGTAGCAGTAGTATTAGTAGTGGTAGTAGGAGCAGTATTAATACTAGTAGTAGTAGTTGTATAGAAGTAGTAGTAACAGCAGCAGCAGTAGTAGTAGTAGTAGCAAAAGTAGCAGAAGTAGAGGCAGCAGCAGTAGTAGTACTAGTAGTAGCAGTAGTATTAGTAGTGGTAGTAGGGCGTATTATACTAGTAGCAGTAGTATAGAAGTAGTAGTAACAGCAGCAGCAGTAGTAGTAACGCAGCAGCAGCAGTAGTACAGCAGCAGCAGCAGTAATGGTAACAGAGAAGCAGCAGTAGTATTAGTAGCAGCAGCAGCAGTAGTAGTAGCAGGAGCAGCAGCAGTAGTAACAGCAGCAGCGTATAATAGTAACAAGCAGCAGCAGCAGTAGTAGAAGCAGCAGCTGTAATATTAATTTTCTTGTTCGCTCTGAGGCCGATAGATTCACAGGCGGAGTCCCAACTGTTCATAATTATTTAAAGCTTGATTTCATATCTACGAATAGCATTGTCATCCATATATTGGAGCCCATTCACAGGAACGATCAGACATTTAATTTTGACACAAAGACAGCTGACTCACTTCTACCCAGAATTTGATGGCGTCTGATGTTGGGCTGGTGTCTGGTGTGGGATAGCCAGGTAAAGAGCACTGGTGCCCAAACACAACCCTGTTTCACTCCTGTCTGGATGGAAAAGGCAGATGAAGCAACTTAACCATTCCTTTCATCAAGGAGTGCTCGGACGTTGGTGCTGAGGCAATCTAAACATGCCTAGGATCTGTTACAGGGTTTTCCTGCAGGTACTAGCAAAGTTTTTTTTTCCAAATAGGAGATGAAGTGCAAAGAAACATGTTCTTTGGCCTTGTCCTGCAATTGTCTGACTACGAAAATCATATCAAAGGTGCTATTACCTCAGCGAAAACCATACTGCAACTCTGGTAGAATTTGTTTAGCATTGGGAAGACGTCGGTTGAGGAGGACTTGACCGAGGACTTTCCTAGTAGTGGACAGCAGGGAAATGCCACAGTAGCTTCCTCAATTTATCCGCTTTTTTGAAGATGGTCCCGCAAAAGTTCTTGAAGTCAGTCTTCTCCAAGATGTTCAGGAACATTTTGTCCACTGAATAAGAACAATTATTGCATGATTATGACTGAGCAAGTGTATACTTCACACTGATGTAAATAATATTTTGAAGATATAAATAAAGGTATATAGTCAATATTTCTTTCAGAATTAGAGCTTCAAAACGATACTGATATATAATTCATCGAGCACCTTATCTACAAGACATTAAACTTTTAGTAATTCATGTTGATTTTAAACACAGATCACAATCTAAAATCTTTAGACAGACAGTGTTTCCCCAGTGACTGCACTGACTGTATCTTTCTATCTGAGTTATTTCTTTACATATAATTTAAATTTTTGTGTCTGCTTGAGGTAGTGATCAGATTTAAGGAAATGTCTGCAGTTCCTCAACTAATTCCAAATTCATAAGCAAAAAGGATAATACACCCATGTAATAAATGCTGCATATTTTCCTGTTCATAAGGGATTGATGTTTTTTTTTTTTTTTTTTATACATTCAAATGCTTGAGCATAAAAAGTTAGTGTTGAAGGAATAGGTTTAAACAGTTTGTGCAGATGTTTGGATGTTACAAGTGCAAAATTGAGAAAAACAGACTTCACTAACATATAATCGTAACGCATTTACCAGCCATCATTTACCATTGCCTTCACCTGTGATAGCAAAGTGGTAACCGGCATCGACTGAGTTACAATCATAAATCAACTCATCCTAACGGTAGCTAGTAGAGAGCTCTATTATAGCAATTCTACCATTCAGGGAGCGCCATACATAATCTTTTCAATTCCTTCAGCCAATCACCAAACATGTAAACAGAACTAGACACACTGAGATTTTAAAAATCATTGTCACATCTAAAACACCATTTTAGCCTATGTAGAAAAAAGATCCATCATGTGGGATGTTAATAGTCTTCTCTGGCTATTTATCGCATACATAGGAACCAATACAAATACTCTTGTATTAATATATCATTATTAACAGCAAACCAAAGAAACAGTCTAAACAGCTTTTATTTATTTATATATATCTCATCATTGTCAGACAAAGAACCGATCCAAACACAGTTTTTAATCATCACCATCTATTGTCAAATAAAGGACATATTTCAAGCTCATTCTTACCCATGTGCTTTGGAGTTTGTTGCCCTTTGCCAAAATGCTGACAGACACAGTTGCTATATTCATTGAACGTTGGCATTGCTTGTTTATATATCAGCAAGGCAATTTTTTCTATAGAATTTGCAATAATTCAGAGAACAATTCTTTAAGAATTCACTTAAATAACCAGTTCATGCACTCTGAAGTCTAATTTAGGCCTATGTCTA